AAATATATCTGGCCCAGGAGTCAGAGAAAATAAAGGAAAATCCAGAAACAATGTAGGTCAATTCTCTGTTGGTGTCTATTACTAGAGAACTATATTTCCACAAACTAAGCAGCTTAATACACACATACTTAACCAAACATATAATTTGTGTGGTTCAGGAGTCTTGACAGTTTACCTAGTTTCTCTGCTTCAGGATTTCACATGCTGCACACTAGGTGTTGTCTAGTTCTACAGTTTCATCTCGGGCTTGACTGTGGAAGGATGTACATCCTCACTCATGAGATTGTTGGGAGAATTTGGTTTCTTATTGTAGGACAGAGGGCTTCACTTTCTTGCTCGTTGCCAACAGACAATGGTTGGCAATGTTCTCTAACCCTAGACAGTACCTTTCATACCTTGTCAATGGGCCACCAACATAGTTGCTTTATCAAGCCAGCAAGGGAGAGAGGGAGAGATACTCTAGCAAGATGGGCACTATAATTTTATGTAACATAATCTGATAATCACATACATGTAATCACATCCATTCTATCACTCTGCCAGAAGCAAATCACAGATCCTGTCCACTCTCAAGGGGATTACACAAGCTCTTGAACCCCAGGAGGCAGGAATCACTTAAGAGTGTTTCTGCTACAGTGTACCTTCTGGCCCTTAGTGTTCCATGTCTCCCCATATTCAAAATGCATTGACACCCTCGCAGGGTCCCCAAGAGTCTTATCTCATGACAGCATCTTCTTAAATTTCATAATTTTGTGATTTAAATCAGGTCCAGGTCAGGAGGATGTAGTGCCTTGCATGTAGAAAGGCTTAATCCTGGCTTATTATTAGGTTGAACAGATTTTACGGATCAGATGAAGAATTTTCTAAATAGCTCTGATGAGGCTTAAAAGTGATTATGAGTATTTCATCTACTTAACTTTGAGCTCCTGGAGGTGAGACCCTTTGTCTTACATGTTGGTATCTTCAGTAATTTACCAATGACTTGCAGATAGTAGTGATTCTTAGAGAATGTTGATCGACTGACCGTACTTAAATAGCTATTTGCTGATCGTAGTCAAAAGACACAGTTGACTTAGAAATTATAGCTGTACTTCATCAGTCCATTTTTTCTTTAATATTCTGATATATTTTCCTTGCTTGGTTGATGTCTGCTATTTACTAAATCTCTTCTCTGAAATTCAAATCCCAACCAAGGTTTAAACGATGAGAAAACATCATGTTCAGTTGATTTCTCAGAAGTGCTATTAAATTCTATATTTTGAAATATATTTTTCTGTAAAGGTTTTTGTGCCTCTTGCTAAAAGAAAGTTTCAAATTAGTGTGATTATATATAAGAAACATCATTTTCAAGGTATGAGTTGTCTTGTCCTGATTAGTTTACAAGTTAGGACAGTTAAACCAGGATCTACAGATTAAGTATGTCACATAGGCATGAGCTGCATTCCTCACTTCATTAATCCAAATTATATTTATTGAATGCCAGTTCTGTGCCAAGATTTTTATTGGGCACTAGGAATATGGCTGTAAATGATCAGACAAACCCCCTCCCTATGGAGCTTACATTGTAATAGAGCAGAGAGACAACACACAAATAAACAAAAGAAGTCATTTCAAATTGTGATGAAGTCTATGAAGGAAAATGAAAATGGGCTAAAAGAGAGAGAACATGAATAAGAATGAGGAATACTTTTAGAGATGATGATGATGGACGAAGGCCACCTGAGGAAGGAATGGCATTTATTCTGAATGGAGCCTCAAGGATGATACTCACTTACTAAGCGTGAATGTGCTGGGCATAGGGTAGAAGCCCATCAAACAGAAAGAAAAGCATGTGCAAAGACCTTAGGAGAAGGAAAGGAGCTCAGTATATTCATGGGACCAGGAGAAGACTAGTGTAGAGTGGCAGGAGATGTGTGGGAAAGGTAGGCAGGTGCCAGATAAGGATGCCTTATAGGTCATTGGGAGGGTTTCTATTTTTGTCTTAAGACCAAAAGTAGTTAATTTAAGATATTTAGCATGGAACACGCCAAACTGAATTGACCATTTAAAATCAGCTTTGCTGCTCTGTGGAGGAATGTCAGAACAGTATGAGCCAGAAGAATGGAGCCCATTGAGGAAGTTGCTCTGAGAGTCCTAGCGAGAGCTGTGGTGACCGAATGAAAATAGAAGGATGGAAATTTATTGTTTTCTATGGACAAAGCCTGCTCATAGGTTAGTGAGGGAAGGCATAAAAGAAAGGGAGGAATGAGACCTTGGTTCCATATTTTTGACTTTAGCAAATGGCTGCTGGTGGTGATTTTCGCTCTTGTGAAAAAGACTAGTAGGCTAGGCAGTTGGTGGGGTGTCCAGTCCTGGGAAGAGAATCAAAAGTTCCAGTTTGAACATATCACATCCGGAAAGCATATGAGAAATATACAGGGAGATGTCAAAAAAAATTAAATAAGCAACTCTAGACTGGAAATCATAGGAAAAATTGAGCTACATCTAGTCATTTAGAAGTCAGCAGCATGTAGATAGTACTAAAACATCATAGGAATGAATAAGATTTCTTTGGCTCTCCTTTGTTTAGAACAACATTTCTTGAGTGTCTTCTTGCCATAAAGTCCCCAGAGGATTGGTATTATCTAATAGCTGATGTGTGAAACACATGGTAACTGCTTTTGAAAATGCTTTGTTGTAGAGACAGCTGCTGACCTGAGCACTAACAGGTGCTGCCTAGACCCTGCATGTTAGTGTTTTTGTCCTCATCACCAAGCCTTAACAAGTGCCCCTACCACAGATGTGGAGAGCTCTCAGAACCCCACCATCCACTGGCACTGCACCTAAGCTAACTGGGAACCTCCAGTGGCTACTCTACATCCTGAGCCGGAGTCCATCACTCCAAGCACATCTCCACTGGAGCCCATTCTTAACACCTGGTGTGGGCTTGGCTTGTGTCTACTTTTCTGAAATATATGCCCGTAAGGATATTTGTTGGTATAAAAAAATAGTTCCAGGGTTAAATATTTATTGGCATGATACATTAAATTGTTTCAAATACATTTTAAAAGCATAGTACCTTAGTATATCCTCTCAAATCCTACTTGGGATATAGAGATGCCACCTGACAGGTGGCAAAAAGAACCTCAGTGGAAATTCTTGGTGCCAGCTATGTGAAGAGCTCTGCCCAACCTGTGTGACTAGAAAGAAGAAGTGCCCCAGTCTTCTGGAGGTGAAGACCCAGAAGCTGACTCCTTAGACACTTACAAAGATTTTCTGGCAGGTCACAAGTATGAAAGCTTATGTGTGGGAACTAGTGTAAGCATATGATTCCTCATAATATAGACACCGTGACAGCATATAGCACTTTCCTCTTGGGGGCAAAAAGAGCTCTTTTGGTTTATAGAAATGGGATTTCACAGATATTGAGCCTCCCTTTTAAAAAATATTAAAGTATTATGTCAACCTTTAAAAAAAATTTTCTGAATTTTTGTATAATATGACAACCTATAGAAAAGTGATAAAATCTGAAGGGGACACTAGGGTAAGTTTGGGTGAATTTGGGCTGCATGGGGCTTAGGAAAACTAAGTTCACTCTTGTAGTTAGAGTCAAGTTCCCTGGAAGACAGATTTTGAGGCAAAGATTTGTATGTGGGAGATTTACTGGGGCATGCTCTCAGGATTACTACCTGTTAGGAAGTTAGAAATGTAGAATGAGGCAGAGATGAACTGGGATGTGGTGTGACAGAGGCCTTGGCAACTGGGATGGCTGTTCAGAGTTTTTCTAAATTGTGGCATGAGGGCCAAGCTTTATAACTCCCACATCAACTCGTCATTGCCTGTAAAGTGCTCTCCGGGAAGTGGATATAAGCTTGGCCAAGGCAGCTCCCTTCGGAAGAAGACAGTTTTTAAGGACAGACTCAGCTGTGAGCCATCAGCAGGCAACATGTCAGATAGGAAGGGACTAGCGGCCTCAGCAGTAGGGCAGTGGGCGGGAGGGCGGGCGGGTGGGGGGTCTCTAAGAAGAGAAAGAGCACAGCCACTAAAATTTAAAACAGTAAATACAAAGTATCAAGAAAGATATTAAATATGTAATTTGTGTAAAACTTGCATGTAAAATGTTTTTACCTTTTTACTTAAAAGTTTGAGCTTCTGTGAATGTAACTTTTTATATGAGGTTGTAATTGTTCCATGTAATTGCTTTTCAGTGATGATGTCTTCAAATTATTTATAGTTACCTTTGATGAGGAACTTCATTCAATTGGAGATAAAAATGTCAAATCATTTTTTACAACTATAGAAACAATTTTAAGATTTGAAATTATATTTAAACATTGTGAAATATTTTTCTCATTGGCAAATTGTAGTGTTGATGTTTTTCATAAAAATATGAATGAATTTTAAATACAATTGGACTTGTGCCATAAAAAGAATTTCAAAAGAATGGTGAAGCTCCAATCTGCAGAATTAGTAGTCACCTGGCACCTGGTTTGGTCACCTCTGAAAGAGCAGGAGTGAAATCTATAGCTGCTTCTGAAGCAGGGCTCCATGAGATAGAAGACATCTTTAGTGGTGCTCAATGCACTGTGAATCACAAAAACCAGTGCCTGAGAGATGGCTGGACACACGTTCTGAGCTCTACTCCATTGAAATCACCTTCCTAGGAGCCAAAAAAAGAGTTATTCATTGCAAGAAATGACCAAGCAAAAGGCCATGCCAAGCCTTACACTGCATAGCACTTATAGGCAAAGGGAATTAATGGCATGGTTTAAAAGTAACTGAAAACTGGAAGCAGCGGCTTTTATCGTCCCTGTGTTAAATACTGGGATAAGGCACTAAGAAAACTTGGCAAAAAATAAATTAATTATTATTTGTAGTGGTTATGTTACATAAAGTCACTGTAAACACTGAGTAGGTGAATATTGAACACATTGCTCGTAGAAGAAAGGCAGGGTTAGGTTCCTGTAAGCCTATACGCAAACACACACGCACACATTGGTGATTCGTTAACAGTGAGTTCAGTGCTCGCTTCGGCAGCCCATATACTAAAATTGGAACGATACAGAGATTAGCATGGCCCCTGCACAAGGATGACATGCAAATTCATGAAGCATTCCATATTTTTATGCAAATCAAAATCACAATGAGATACCATCTCACACCAGTTAGAATGGCAATCATTAGAAAGTCAGAAAACAACAGGTGCTGGAGAGGATGTGGAGAAATAGGAACACTTTTACACTGTTGGTGGGACTGTAAACTAGTTCAACCATTGTGGAAAACAGTATGGCGATTCCTCAAGGATCTAGAACTAGAAATATCATATGACCCAGCCATCCCATTACTGGGTATATACCCAAAGGATTATAAATCATGCTGCTATAAAGACACATGCACACTTATGTTTATTGCGGCACTTTTCACAGTAGCAAAGACTTGGAATCAACCCAAAGGTCCATCAGTAACAGACTGGATTAAGAAAATGTGGCACATATACACCATGGAATACTATGCAGCCATAAAAAAGGATGAGTTCATGTCCTTTGTAGGGACATGGATGCAGCTGGAAACCATCATTCTCAGCAAACTTTTGCAAGAACAGAAAACCAAACACCGCATGTTCTCACTCATAGGTGGGAATTGAACAATGAGATCACTTGGACACAGGAAGGGGAACATCACACACTGGGGCCTATTATGGGGAGGAGGGAAGGGGAGGGATGGCATTGGGAGTTACATCTGATGTAAATGACGAGTTGATGGGTGCAGCACACCAACATGGCACATGTATACATATGTAACAAACCTGCACGTTGTTCACATGTACCCTAGAACTTAAAGTATAATAATAATAATAATAATAATAAAAACAGTGAGTTCATAGCCAACAGCACTATAACTCATGCTTAAAGGAAGTTTATGTAACACATATTTTTCCCCCTAAGACACATCACAGCCTTTTGGGGCTTAGGAACACTAGAAAGCATTTTAGCACTATGCCTTGAGCCCATTTGAAACAGAGAAATCACTAACCAAAAAAAACCCACAAAAATGCAAAATAACATGACATTAAATAGACCACAGAGGACAGGTACTTACGATATAAGAACTGAAACAAGAGGCAGAGTGTTGCTTTGTTCAATCTTATTTGGGAACATGTGCATTAAGCAAATCAATTTTTTCCCACTCTGATACATCTAGAATGTGATCCCTAATGTCCATGAAAGTGCCACAAACATTGATTTGGGACTTACAAATAAATTTTAGTGACTAGGCAAATCCACCCATGATCAATCTGTGAATAATGAGGATTGACTGTACCTACTCCTGGAAAATAACGTCATGAACCAACTGAAACAGCTTTTTGTGCAGGCTCACTGGAAGATCCTCACCTCACTAGGCCCACCAATCTAAAACTATTATGTCATAATCTCTGCCCAGTTCTAGCCAGTTCATCTTGCAAGATCACTCCCCAAATCACTCAGTCGAGGTCCTATTATGACCACTTCCTAAGTTTTTCCATTTTGAGATACTACTAAGATAGTGTTTTCTCTTAGACTGCAGTAAGTCTAATAAACTTAGCTGTCTATGATAAACTGTTTCTTTCTATTGATCTTTTGGTAAGTTTATAGTTAGTACCATTTTCAGGACAACTGTATTCTAGGAATGTGTGTTTGGAGAGAGAGAGAACACAGAGAAGACAACTGAGAAACAGCATTGCCAGTGAGTTAGGAGACAAGAGATCACCATTACAGAAGCTGATAGAAACAAGTGTGTTAAGAGGGGACACACTTCCTATAACAATTTCCGCATGAAAAAAAATTATTTTAGGGTTCTCTTGCTACGAAGTTATCACCTGGTGTTAGTCTGTTTTGCATTGCTATAATATATCAGTTAAGGCTGGGTAATTTATAAAGAAAAGAGACTTATTTTAGCTTATGGTTCTGCAGGCTGTACATGAAGCATATTTCTGGCACCTGCTTTTGGTGGGGGGCCCGGAAGCTTACAATAATGGCAGAAGGCGAAGGGGAGCCAGCGTGTCACATGGTGAGAGAGGGAGTTGGGGAGGGAAGTGGGAGGTCCCAGACTCTTTTCAACAACCAGATCTTGCAGTAATGCATTGTCGCTAGGAGGGTACCAAGCCACTCATGAGGAATCTGGCCCCATGACCTGAACACCTCCCACCAGGCCCACCTCCAACATGGAGGATCACATTTCAACTCAAGATTTGAGGGGACGCACATACAAACCATGTCACACCCCAAGTAATTTGTTGCTTTGTCCTTTCTGAAAATGTGAGCAAGATAATCAAATGTTTCTTATTGCTTTTGCTGCCAAAAATCTGAGTCAGACTGCATACCCAGGTGAAGCCTGATAATAACATTAACTTGAGCGGTGGACAGGTTGACTCTGTGGTCTTTTTTCCTTAGTCATACCTTTGTATATATTTCGAGTTTATTTGCCTGTTTTTGTTTAGTGTAGTTTCAAGGAGCCCCAGGACCACCCACATGTTTGGTGACTCACAAGACTCCAAGGAAATTGCAGTCATCACTGTGTTTTATTACAACAAAAGGGTACACAGAAGGATCAGCAGAGGAAAAGATGCATCAGGCAGAATTCAGGCACAGGCTTCCAAAGTTCTCTCTCACAGAGTTGGGGAGAAGGGATAAGGGTGGTTACACAATGTACTCTCCCTCTAGCAATGAAATACAGCAGCACATGTGCAGTGCTTTTTCCCAGTGTTCTTTAGAGTACAGAGGTGTTATTAGGAGTTGATCCCATCGGTCCTCTTTGCCTGTGTCACCAGTCATGATTACCAAAATTTACACTCCCAGAAGGAAAGCAGGTGTTCACCATAAATCACATTGTTTGCAAAAAGAGTTTAGACGAGGTGATATGGTAGGACTTGGTACCTCATGCATACATCAGTTAGTAATGTAAAAAAAATTCTAAAAGTTAAGTTTCAGATCCCAGACAGGTTCTAGCCACGCAAGTAGGTCTTTTTAAAGAGCAAGACAAGCCTGTAAAGACTATTTACTGCACAGTTTATGTCTACATTCTTTGTGTAAACCATGGAAAACTGATTTTGAAAAAAGAACATTTAAAAACTCATTAATTGGAGCTCTTATCTATATGCTGCCTAATCATTGGTTGGAATTTAATCTCCAGCCTGTTTCTGCTGCACTTACCCGAGGTAACACTTCAATCGTCCTTTCTTATAAAGCCTGTGTATGGCTTAAACTTTTATACTTCTGATTCCTGCTACATGAAGTTCCTTCTTAGAATACTCTGCAATTCAATACACACTGTCATTCTATCCAAATGTTCTTGTTTATGAAATTTCTTTTGTCAGGCAGGTCCATGAAGACAGGGAAGAATTCTGCTTAGTTATCTGCTGTATAGCCAAACCCAAGGCATTGGTACATAGTAGGCACTCAATAAACATTTGATGAATGTTTGTTAATAAATGAACAGATGTGAGATTTCTTCTGTGTCTTTGAAAATACTATGCTGCTTAAGAGAAAATACTTTCCAGCTTTGAAACATTTTTTTATATGTTGAAAATCAGAGGTAAAAAGCTTTTTAAATTTGTTTCCTCATTTGTTCAGCGATTTATAACCTTATGAGATTATCAGATTATTTTGTGGAATCATATACTTAGAAGAAAGAGATATTCACTGGAAAAGATTTTTCTGTTCTTTAGAGCAAATGTAGAAAAGCGAGTTTTACCTATTATCATTTCATGTTGAAAAATTTATTTGATGAGTATTTTTACGTATGTTAGTTGTGACCAACAGATTAGTCAATGCTCTTTCTTTAACTTTTTTTTTTTTTTTTTTTTTGAGAGAGAGTCTTGCTGTGTCACCAGGCTGGAGTGCAGTGGCTTGATCACTGCTCACTTCAGCCTTGACCTTCCAAGCTCAATTGACCCTCCCACCTCAGCCTCCTCAGTAACTGGGACTACAGGTGCATACCACCACACTTGGATAATTTTTGTGTTTTTGTTTTTTTTGTTGTTGTTGTTTTCTGGTAGAGATGAGGTTTTGCCATGTTGCCCAGGCTTGTCTCCAGCTCCTGGCCTTAAGCAGTCTTCCTACCTCACCACGCCCAGTCCGTTACTCTGTATTTGAAGGAAGCCTCCAGTAGCCCAGAGGCAAGAAATGTAAAAAAAAAAAAAAAAAAAAATTCTGAATATATAGTTGACCATTACTTTAATATAGGTTAAAGTGTAACACAGATAAACCCTAAGGTAGCATTAATAAATGTGCATACAATGACTAAATCCTGAGAAATAACAATTCTGCTTTGTGCAGGGATCAGGCCAATCTGGAATCAAGTCAGTTCCCTTCTTAGGGATTTGTGATAGCCCCCAGATTAACCACATATATAGAGCTCAGAATGCATCTGTATAGGAAATAATGTAATACCTTTCATTGTTAGTAATGATTCAGTCCCTAGATCAACCAACAAAAGCCAATTTAGCCAATGATGTACCTTAATTATAAGAACATGATAGCATCAAAGATGAAGCCAGCATTTATAGCAAGGTTTCCATGGGAGCATACCTACAGTGCTACAAGGTCCCAGCCTAGGTAATCTGGACTGTCATATGTGTTTTGGATATAGAAATAGAAATTACTTTTCTCCATGTCCTTCCATGTGAAATGATAAAAGAAAAATTATTTTAATTTTAAAGTGTTCAGAGGGTTCCCCAAGGCCCAGGCTCCAACTCAGCCTCTCTAGGAGGTAGAACTAGGAAGCTACACTTGAAACATGAAAGTGAGTTATAATCAGACAATTTTTATCTACAGGAGTTGCTAAAAATGAGGGGGAAAATACTTTCCTAATGAAAGAATGAGATTCATACATTAGATATATCCAAACCAAGTCTAAAATGCCATTTGGAGAAAGGTCATAGGAAGGTTTTTGTACTAGATGGGGCTAGGAAACTCTCACAAGAGTTTTAAAATTATTTAAATCTGCCTGTCACAGTGGCTCACGTTTGTTGTCCCAGCAGTTTGGGAGGGTGAGGCAGACAGATTACTGCAGCCCAGGAGTTCAAGACCAGCCTGGGCAACATGGCAAAGCCCCATTTCTACAAAAAATAAATAACTTAGCTGGCTG